TCAATATTTTCACTAATGATTTGGATGATAGAATAGAGAGTATGCTTATTAAATATGCAGATGATCTCCAACAGAAGTCACTAGAGGCCTCTGTCAGAGCCAGGCAAAGTCCTCAAATCAGCTCAAGAGAAGGCTACTGTTTTCTAACAATGGGAATGCCCTGAATAGGGCTTTGTCAGTCACTAAATTAACAATGAGCCCCATCTGCACAGAACTGGTGCTGTACATCCAGGGTTGCATCAGGAAAAGGAGAGGTCATTGGTTCAAGAACCCCTGAAACTGGTGGCAAGAGCCATCAAACTTATTTGGCAACAGAACCTTTGGTTCGTGAAGACCTGACACTGGGGCTTGGAAACTGGAAGTGATGGTGTGGGCACCACAAGCAACTAGTCCTTGTGATAGACTCATCTGGGCCTGCAAGGCTGTAGTCTGTTCCTGCAGAACACTCATCTGGGCTGAGGGTTTCATACAGACTGGCCAGTGAGTACTTGGTCATGTGGGATCTACTGCAAGTTCTTAGCTCTGTTTTCCCCTGTGGCTGTTCAAATTCTGATGACCAAGCCATAGGCAAGCCAGTGGATGAATGGATAGAGCAAGCATTTGAGTCAGAGCTGGAAGACGGACCAGAGTCAAAGACTGAGCCAGGGGAACAAGTTCTGGTGCATCCAAACCAGAGACCAGGCTGGGAACCAAGATCCAAATTCAAAGTCAAGACAGCATCAAAGACCAAGGGACATGCAAGATTTTAGGGGCAGCTGGTCAGGAACAGAACAGGGACAAGGAACAAGGCTGGGACACAGACCAAAGCAGGGACTGGAGAGAAAGCTAAGACAGAACTGAGGGCAGAAACTGGGGGTGTTTTTACATGTGCTCCAGGGCTGGGGGGGCTGGGAGATGCTTTAATTAGAGCAGCACCAAGTGCCACTCTAATTGAAGCACCTGCTTCAAAATGTATGAGCATCTCCATGCTTCAAAATGGCAGTGAGGAGCTTGATCAGGGAGCTTTCATTAAAGCGCCCCCACCACCATTTTGAAATACACAAGACATGGAGGCTGCTGGAGTGCGCTAATTAGCATGCTCCCGTAGACTCGATTAATTGAGTCTGCTCTGACAGGCTGTAATTACAGCCTGTCAGAGCAACCTCCCCACACATCTACAAGCATTCCCATGGAGGCTTAGATGAAGCAGAAACAATGGCTGGAGCTGGGAAACCAGGGCTTGAAGGCAGTGAGGATCTAGGTAGAACTGCAGGCTATTGGTTGCCCCTTCTCCGATCCTGCTGGCTCTGTCAACCTATCAGGTTGGGAAGTGGAGTCAATTACCCAGCTGTGGCTCAAACTCTGCCCCGTCCCCCCACACCATATCCTCTCCCCCTGTAGCTAGTGCCCAAGTCCATTACAAGGAGATGTAGAAGATTACCATTAGTAACTGAAACGTGAAGAGATACTAACTAGACTTGATGTTGGTCTGGCTGCTATGGTTAATTCCCTTTATGGTTACTTCAGAACATCTTCAGTGACATGGATAAGATTCATATGAAAGCCAGATGTTAAAGCTAGAAGGAATAAATATCTTGGTTTGACCTCATCAACTACTAGATGACACCTACAACCTACAGAATAGTCAGATGGTATAAAAGCTATTTCAATTGATCCATAAGCAGATATTTGTCTTTCCAAAGCTGCTTTTATAGCAGTTCACGGTGTCTCACTCATGATCAGAGGTAACAAGTGATGGTACAGGACAGTGCTAATTACATGTGTAGCAAAGTAATACTGACATTCCAGTGGGCTCCTTGTCATAACTCGTTCCTTCTCCAGCTCTTGGATGTGTTATTTGCAGAGGTGTAACTAGGAATGTTGGCGTCCTGTGTGCAAGGGGTGCTGGGAACTGGAGAGCAGAGGAGCATGTTTTACTTCCCTGCATATGGGCTGTTGTCACTGCTGCCACAGCACAGGCTGCTGCTGCTGCCACACCCTGAGCTTCTCAGTCACAGATGTGGGTTGTTGCATTGCAGTGTGGCCTCCTCAGGGGCCGCCACTCTGGCACCTGGGGCTGCTGCCCCACTTGCCTACCCCTAGTTACGCTACTGCTTATGTAAGTAAAAAGAGAAAATAGCCCTTTCTAACCTAGACTATCAGAGGAACCAGAAAGGCAGCATCCATTCAATTGCCAGCACGTGTAGTTTCAAACTACTATTGTCCTCATGGTGTCATTCTTTGTCACAATGCAGAATGCACACCAACATGAAGGCCTGAAACCTGTACAGAGCTCTCCACACTTTACAAGACTGGAAGATTAGTTTGTGGAATACAATCTGTGACCTCCCCTAAGGACTACCTTTCAGACAGCCCAAATCCACTCCTTCCACCCAAGCCTTTGGAAAGAAGGAAACAGACCTTGACTTCAGGGTGGTTTGGGGTGCAGGTGGTCTCGTTGGGATTGTTCTCTCTTTGCTCATCTTGCACTCTAAGTCTCTGACAGTATTTTCAGGACATGCTGATGCAGCCATGGTTCATTGCCATGGAGACAAGAAGCTCTGCCTCTCTTCAAGCCCAAGCTAATGGTCTGAATTAAACTCTCATTTCCTCTGGGGCAAGTAAAACAGTTACAATGCTGTTGCCCACATGAACAGTCTATGACCACATTCGCCCAACAGCCACACCCTACAGTCACACACCCAGCACAGCCATGCCCCAAACACATTACACTTGTTCTGTAGCCACTCTCACTATTCTCTCACACAATGCAGACACACGTACCATAGCTGCATCATGCACATACTCACTATCTCTCTCTGTCACACACACACACACACACACACACACATCATAGCCATGCTCTACATCCTACTCTCCCTAACCAATGGGCAAGCATGCACTATGACTCCCACACATTTTACTTCTATGCTCTGTATACCTTCTATGTACGACTCACAAACACGCTCCCCAAGTAGAGCCAAATGAATAAATGACAGGGTCTTACTGTATGTCATCTGCTCTGTGGCAGCTGCCTGTGTACCCATTCTTACCCCATGGTAAGTAAAAATTAAACCACAGTAGTTTAGGGTAAAATGCTGCATTTAACCTCTGCTCACTACAGGGCCAGAACATGCACATAAGCAGTTACCACAGAGCAGCTAAGTCATAGTAAATCCCCTCTCCCATTAATACAGCATATTTTTTCACTTGTTCATATACACTCCCTGTGTCAACTCCCTATACCTCAAAACACCCACCCCATACTTGAGCCCCAAACTCTACACCATGACATGTCCTCTACTGCCTCTGTTCCCCCAGGAACCTAAATATCCAAAAGATTTTCATGCGTAGCTTTTGCATTTAGGCTACCTAAAACACAGACTTCAGCCCCTTTCTGCACTTGCTCCTCTGCTCCACAGCATGCTGGTCACTCACAGGGAAATTATGTAGGAAGTACATGTGAGTAGGGACCATTACAATTCAGCCTCCTGCTATCCCTGCTCCATACCCAGACACTTTCCACTGTAGGATGTACCTACACACCAGCTGTTCCTAGCTGCTTCAGTTTCAGAGTCTTCTCAAAAAGCTAATGAGGCATCTATCGCTGCTGTACTGTGAGCTCTCTGCGCCCCTGGCTTTAGTAGAGTCTTCAGCATTGCAGCTAGATCAAACCAGCCACTGAAAAAGCCCCGCTTTTTTTACTGTGCTTCCCAGCTGTGTTTTACCAGCTCTCCAGGTTCAGATGGGGGAAATGAAAAGCTGGGGTGGGGAGGGAAGGAAGATGGAGATGGGAGGCAGGCATCTTCTCAATAAGTCAAAGGACCAAAGGATGTGCTGCATATGAGTATGTTGGTGAAAAAAGCACTAATTTTGCTACAAATCACTGAACTGGAGGAGCTCTGTCTAGCAATTCTGCACAATGACCCTTCATTCTCCTGTTGTACTTATGTGGCAACCGTGTTTTGGCCAACGCATGGAGAATTGAACTGGGAACCTCCAAGGCTTAAATGAAAGACCCATGTCTCAGTAGTTGGGGGCTCTAAGAATTCATTTCTGTGAGTTGGAAGAGTGGAATTTATGAAACATCCTTCACCAGTGGGTCACAGTGAGACAGCTGCCTGTCACAGTGACTTGAAATGTCTTCATATCCCAACACAAAACATCACACAGTGACACGGCACTGGCTAGAAGGATGAGAAATGAGGGAGCTCAAGGGTAAAGCCTGCTAAATTCTGACCTCATTGCTTAGCACAGTGTAGCTGATTCAGAAAGGCTGGAACTGGTCTGAGCCTTAATACCATACCAAAGACATGGAGATGGTGGGACACAGCCCAGAACCCTCCAGCAAGACGCATAGCCTTCTAGATGCTGGAACTCATCAGTGACGCGTAGGGAGCACATGGGGGGGGTGTACATGCCCCACCCAAGATTGGCTCTCACTGGCCAAGGAGTGGGGGCACCAAGAGAAGTATCGGTGGCACTTCCAGTTTTGCCACCAGCACTTCCAGGGTCGGCAATCGGCCACTGGGGGACCCTCCAGGTCAGAGGCACCAGTTGCCCATGCTCGAACTCAAAGAGCAAATGCTGCTTAACACTCTGATGACTGCTGCATCAGCACAAAAACTCCCTGCCCAGAGCAATAGGGTGTCAGGTCCACAAATACAGCACTAGGCTCAGGCAGTAGGAGCAGTAATGTGATCAAATCAAAGGGCTGGGAAGTGTCAGGAGAACAGAGACATGCGAGTCTCACTAATACAGCTGCATCAAGGTGGCCCTCCATACTCCAACAGCAGTGGCAGAACTGAGTAGGAAGCCTCATAGGGCACGATGGAGGAGATGGCTGCGAGTGAGATCGAAGCTATTGCAGCCCAAGCCTCATTCAGGATAACCCACTACAGAGAAGGCTGTACAGAGACGCACCCACATGCCATAAGCCTAATCCAAGGGCCACCAGCAGTCAAGCAGGCATTTAGGAGGATTAACGGAAACCCAAAAGAATTGGAAAATGTCTTGCTTACCCAGAAAGCACTCCCAAGACAAGGTTGAGAACAAAGAAGGATCCGATGATGATGAGGGGGATGAAGTACAGCCAGTTCCAGGTGGCTCCTAAGGCATCATTGGTCTGAAAGAGAGAAAAAGAGTTACCTTATATTCAACCTGTGTGCGACCACAAGGGGCTCAGGTTGGTAAATCCCCTGCTATTTCATAGCCTCAGGGACTGCTGCAGGATTCTTCACTTTGCACAAGTGCAATAACACTCTATTCTTTCTTTTCCTTTTGTTTTTGCTACATAGTTCATTCAATTTGCTATTTCATACCCATCACTGGTCAGGCAGAGAGCTTTTTGCCCAGGCTCCTCTCTGCCTATCATGTTCTGTACTCTCCCTGTGACAGATAACTCAAAAGTACATGTTCTCCTGTACTGCATCTTGAAGCCAGAGAGGGAGAACTAGCTTAGCATTAGCTTGGGCAGAGGCAACTATATGCACAGACCTGTTCAGATCCTACTGCTATGCCCCAAAGAGGACCCACTTGTCAGTCTTTCCTTAATAAAGTGTAGTTTGGAGCTGTCATGCTAGCACTACATAACAAATATAGGCAGAGGCTGGGGATTCAGTGGTATCTACAGAGGTGTAGCTAGAGCAAGGCCTAAGGGGAAGAAATGAGGCCAGGGAGGTAGCTGCCTGGATAGTTCCCAGGGGAAATTCAGCAGTGACCTGGACCAAGAATGAGGGTGGCATGGGGTCAAAGCTGGGCCAGAATAAGGAAAAGATTGAGAAGAAACCTGGAGCTAAACCTAAGGGGCTGGAAAAGTAAAAACTGGTAGGTTGGCTACTGAGCTGGGCTGGGATCTGAGGGAAGGAGCTGGTGGCTGTGAATGAGGGAGCGGTAGAGAACCTAAAAGACCTGGCCCTCAGGTACATGGCTTCTTGGACACTGTGCCACGCTGATGAAGCTCAGGCAAAATAACTGGAACACATTGGCAGCCTACATGCTGGGGTGCCATGGTGGTGCCACCACCCCCTGTAATTCAGCAGCAGGGGAAAGGAGGGGAAGAGCAGCCAACAGTGATGTAACCCCCACTTTCACACAGCGCCTAAGGCTCCATGCTGCAGCTACTCATCCTGTCTCCTTCTCTCCCTGCTGCAAAGTTTGGAGGGGCAGGGGGGAAGAGCAAATGGCAGCAGGCTCTGGAAGCAGAAACTCTGGGCAGACCCCACATCAGTGAGATCAGAGATCACATGCAGAGCTTGCAGCTGGAACTGCCGAGGGTCTCACCAGCATCCAGCATCACAATGAGGCGCTACAGCCACATCCCCTTCAGCTGTGTAGCACATATGCAATGAGCCTCATCCCTGAAGAGGATGCGGCTACACCCCCAATCTGGATCCACCCATGCCTGTACATCCACAGCTCCTGACACAGAACCGCATGCCTGAAAATGGTATCAAAGTGCTCAGTGGGTGGGTGACATGCGTTAAACCAAGGTCAGCCTGCAAATTGAACACAATCAGAGTCTCCACTGTGGAGCTGTTTCTCCACTCCACCACCTCAAACCTCTGTCTATCACAGCAGCAGCCTCAGAGAGCACTTGGCTCAGCCAGTCACCACAGGGGAATTAATTCACTCCTAGATTCATACCACAGTAACACTCATCAGTTAGACCAGACTCCTCACTCTGTCCAGCCCAGGATTTGAAGAGGCAAGCCCAAGCCAAAGTGTCCCACCTTCACTTCCCCTTTCTTCCTCCACCACTTCCACAGTGCAGTTTTCAAGCTAGAATCATCCTCCACACAGAGCCTGTATTCTGGACATGTCACTCAGTGCTGAATATAAGTGGGCACAAGTCCTGTTTCCTTCCCTGAGTTCCTCTACAGCTAAGCCACAGTGGGGGCAATGACACTGCCAAAGTGAGTGGGAGAGGACATACCAGTATTTCCTTCCGTCATCCCCACATTACTACAGCCAAATCTGTAGCTGTCTCCCACTAGAGCAGTGGTTCTCAAACTGTTTAGACTTGAGGCATCCCTCATTAGACCCTACGTAACTTTTGTGAATTAAGCAGTACCATAGTTCAAAAACTATTTTTTATTTATTTATTTTTTTTTACAGCTCTTGCCTCCTTGCCGAGGGGTTCGGCAGTGGAGGCAGGAACAAGACTCAGTCTGCATTTATCACTTCACACCTCCTTATCTCCCCACACCTTGCAGCACCCTTCAGAAGGTATCATAGCATCCCAGGGTGCCCTAGCACCCTGGCTGAGAATCAATGCTCTAGAGGATATCAGAGAGCAGAACCAGTCACCTGATGGAGGAAGCCAGGTTTCACATTATAAGTCTGTAAAATGCATGATGCTAAAACAATATTCTAGATCAAACTTCCCTTGAACTTAGAAGGCAATTCCATTCTCCTCAGACCCATCGCTATTACTAGTGAGGGAGCTGTAGGCCAGGACATAGGGAAGCTGCAAGTTTTCCAGTCCTTGTGTAAAGCAGAACACTAGAATTGCCTCTATTCTGGTCCTTAGCAGGTCATCACTTCAGGGCTCCCTGAATTCACACCTACACCATACCATGAAATAAATAAAGGGTGCATCTGTGAAAGGTGCTGCAGACTGGGAGGGGAAAGATTTATGGGGAGCATTTTGTGCAATGAAGCTGGTGTCTCGACAAGAGGCTGCCAACCTTTTGTCCTTCCAGCTCAGCTTTTTCCAAGCACACGTCTAGTCTGATGGTGTCATCACTAATAACGTGTCACCCATGCTGAATTATTCCATCACTGCTGAAAATCAGAAAAACGAAAAGGGAAGAAGCCAGCACCAGGGAGAGCTCTAACTGCAGGGTAAAGCATGACAGCTTAAAAGCCTTCTGGCGAGCTTTGCTCAATATCACACTGCAATTATTCACCAAACCTTTTAATAAAGTACTGCCCCTCTCCACCTTCCAGCAGTTTCCCAGTCCCCATTTGTCCTCTCCTGTCAGGTAATCTGCACATGACGCTGGCCTGAACAGTGATGCAGCAGAACGTGACTGTCTGGGGGAGGTGGCATCAATCTTGTTGGAATGAAAGACTCTTTTTTTCCCTAACGCTAATTAAGCTCTCATCTTCATCTGAGTCATCAGCATTGCCTCTCCAGATTGCCCAATGCAGGAGCCAATTCAAGGCTCTTAAAGAAAAGTAACCTCCAAAGATTGGAAAAGTGGGGAAAAAATGGCCAAGGAAAGGGAGAAAACCCTCCAGTGAGATAAGAAGTTGCCAGCTCCAGCCCTTTATAAGGGAAACTGGTTAGTCGGTTTCTGCACCCCACACTCCTTTGTTGCTTCCCAAACATTTTTAGTGGAAGAGACTCCAATGCACTGACTGCTTTTGAGAGAGATTGAAATGAGGCTTTAAAGAGGCTCCTGCAATCGGACCAGAACAGACTCTGATGCTGAGCACTTGAAAACGAGAGGCAGATGATACTACACAGCTCACCCAGGCAGCATCCTCCAGGGCCTGAGTCCCCACTGCTCCAAGTTTTGCAGTGTTTTGCTTCAGTAATGTGCCATTGAATAAGAACAAGTTTCTTCTCCCAGCCAGAGGCCCAGCCTTCTTCTGCCACAAAGGCTCAGCTCTTTAGAAAGTAGCATAACCCACTCCCTACTTTCATCAAAGGCAACACTGCTGGCCTGGAACCAGCCTGCTGAGGCTCCCTGGTGCTCTGTGTGCACCTCTCTTGTTGTCTCTGCCTCGCTTTCCTCACCTGCAGACTCTAATTACTGAGAGTGACACACAAGCAAGAGGGGGATCATGACAGACGGTGAAAGCAGCTTGGGGGCGGCGGCACACCTGCACCAGGAAAATGCTCTCAATTACCAGCAATTTCAGCCGTGACGCAGTGGCAATGTTTTCTTTGATGAACCTGCCCGGCTGGGGGTGTTGCCACCCCCTCCTTAAGTAAACAGTCACACATGGCAATTATCACATTAATCCTCCAGAGGGGAATGAGGGAGGGATGGGTGGATGGATGGAGAGGAGGTGGATGGGGGGTGATTAGAACCCACGTCTCCACACAGCCCAGGTGGTGAGAGGACTGGCAGCTTGCTGCAAGGCTGCAGAGGAGTCTCTCCTGCCTTTTCCAAACCAGTAGGGAAGCAGCAGAATCACAGACAGGTGGCAGAAGAAACCCAGTGCTTCAATCACCTGAAGAGTGGAAGTCACATTCCTAGCTTCCCAAAGGCCTCTGCCCCAAGCAGGCCAAAACTGGATGAGAGTCATGATTCCCACACTCCATAGTTCCTACTCCACGGCTAGTCCTCAGGTGCCTCTGAAAGGTTCTGCACCTTGTGAACTCTCTTGTTTCATGGGTCCCCCATGTCACAACATGTTCCTGTGTCCTCCGCCACCTGTAGACCACCTCAAAAGATGCATCTGGGGAGTCAGCCATCCTCCTGAGCAGCACATTGCTTCCTCCTACACAGCAAAGCTCTTGACAGACTCCCAAACTGTAATGTGAGTGCCTCAACCTCCAGCTGCCCCCACCCCAGTGTCAGACCTCCCTCTCAAATATTCTTTGAGGAAATGGGCCTGAGGTCCTCACACGAATAGCAGCAGCATGGAACCCTACGAAGCACTCGGCAGTCTTCTATGGAGACCCCATCTAAGAAGCAGTATCTGGGATGAGTCAGACAGCAGCTCCATTGTGCACCTTGACTGGTAGGAGGTAATTGCAGGTAAGTGCAGATTCTGAGATGTGCTGAACAAGAGAATAGTTGGGTGTTCACCTCTCTGAGTGCTTTGATGCCCAGATAGAACACAGGTCAGCAACGTTCCACAGGAAAAAGACATGTGAGGGGCAAAGCTTGAGAAACTGACCTCTGGATTGAGGTCAGGACCCTGTCACTCATTCTGAATGTTGCTATCAACTTTGGTGTTAAATTGAAGGCACCTTTCCCTCCTCCCCCTGGGGTGCATTAAGAGTGAAGCTGGCTATTGCTCAGTGCAAAAGGCAGCATGAGGTAGTGAGCAGGGTACCACCTGTGTGGGAATCCAGAGTTTTTAGCCTCAACTGTACCACTCACTTGCTCTGTAATCTTGGGCCAAGTCATTTCAACTCTCTGCCTATCTTGTCCATTTACACAA